GTTATCAAGTGGATCGCTCAAGCCAGCCGTGTCCTATCAGTTAGGTGCGCGTTCACATGAAAGGGGTGGTATCTGGAGCATTCGACCAATCACAATCATGGAGAAGCGTACTGACAGCGCAGCGTCATACTTCCTGAATGAAAAGTCAACTATAATATTAGACATATGAAGAAGTTAAACTTTAAACATCCATGACTTAAACACTTTATCCAGGATCAAAGCCACATAGCTGCACCTGCAAGGTGAATACAGCTGGTAACAGAACAAGTGTTTGAATGCGTACATTAACAGGTTTATGATATCACTGCCCCGTCTAAGACACGATCTGACTTTCATTACATTTGACTCGAGTGTTTCCTCAACTTAATGTGTTGCTTAAAATAATACTTCTGCATACAGTATGTGACACTGTGAGTGTTGCACGGCCAGATACGGCTCAGCTGACTCAGATAAGGAGATATATGATACATTATGATGTGATTGCCGCGGACTGTACTTCATGTTACTCTGATCCGGTTACTTATGTTGTAGCAGATATTTAAGTAAGCTTTCTTAACGCTAATGTTATAATAGTCAGATTGCTCTGAAGATGGGAGGTGATATTCTATTAATGTTCACGTTCACACAGTCGGTGATTTTTGCCGGCCGTCTTTCCTGCAACGGCAGCTTTCTGTATTTCCTTTCTCCTGTAATATGACTTGATGCTTTAAACTCCGCACACTGAGCTCTGATTGGTCAGCAGGCAGTGCTTTCACTGAGTTGAGCTCTTAGCCTGCAACCTAACCTGCTCCGGGGCAGGTTAGCCGCACAGCATCAGTTAACATGGAGATCTAGCCTGCTAAAAAGAGAACCAGCTTCGTAGGACCGGAAACCCAGAGTTTTCCCTGAAGTTAGCCGCAAAGCGAAAATCCTGCTTTGTAGTAGACCCCCCTGGTGTGTGTGGAGGTTTGGTAGCAATGGGAATATACTATAGCCGCCACAAACAGCATGTTGTGATTTTTACTTTTGAAAAAGTTTGAAAAAATCAAATACATAATAAATAAATATTTAAATAAGAAATTCGAAAAAAAATGTACAATTAAAATAATTAAATTAAATAATAAATACATATTCAAATATGAAATATGAAAAAATAAATACATTTAAAAATTATATTAAATATACAAATAACAAATAAAAGCATAAATAATAATACATAAATACATTAAAATAATACACAAAAACATTAAAAAAACATAAATAATAATAAATAAAAACATAACAATTGAGTCTGCACCGTAATAATCAGAGACGGATATTAACTCTGATTTAGGACAGAGAGGACGTTGAGAGGACAGAGCTCTGGGACAGCAGCAGTCATGTCTCATTATGTCCAGCATGCATTTCAGGAGGTCCCTCTCCTCTGGGCCTCACTGTTGTCTCCAAAAACACACACATTGAAGGACCATCCTCCATGAGGCATGTTGTTGTAATCATTGTTATTGTTGTTGATTTTTTGGTTTATTTATTTTGCCTGTTTTAAGTTAAATTCTTTAAAGTTAAAATGTTAAGTACATTTGTAGAGGTACAGCTGTAAAGATCCTAAAAATCTGCAATGTGTAAAATAAATGTGAATGAAAGCATATTTAGTTTTTTTAACTGTTTTTTATGCTTTCCTCTCCTCCCCCTCCTCTTCCTCCTCTTCCTCCTCTTCCTCCCCCTCCTCTTCTTCCTCCCCCTCCTCTTCCTCTCAGAATGACGTTGGAGGGAAGAGGAGTTTGATCAATCGATGGACGACCTTCCTGAAGGCCCGGCTGGTTTGCTCTGTTCCTGGAGAGGGAGGAGTGGACACACACTTTGATGAACTCGGTAACACTCTTCCTCTTCCTCCTCCTCTTCCTCCTCACCCCACCTGTCCATCATTGTGTTTTCATTATTAAGTTCAACAGGTGTGAGCTGTCTCCTCTCTGCCTGATGATGACTGAAACTCTCTTTGAAATGCCAATCAAGCATCCCTTTTATTAGACCCTTGCTAACTAAGTAAATACATTAAACAACATCACAGCTGAGAGTAAACAGTTTAAATCTTTTCATTTGTTAAAATCTGCTTTTTTGTTCCCAGAGGACATCTTTGTTCTGGAGACGAAGGACCCTCAGAACCCGACAATCTACGGAGTCTTCAGCACGTCCAGGTGAGGAAACCCCCTCTCTCTGAAAACAGACTCTGACGACAACTTTTTATTTTTTCAATGAACTTTAATTATTTGCAGTATTTTTGACTTTTCTCATAATTCTATGTTTTTTCTTAGAATTTTCATTTATTTTCAGAGTTTAAAAATGTTTCTGAGAATTTCCACTTTTTTCAGAATTCTGAACTTTTTTCTCAGAATTTTTATTTTTCGACTGTTTCATAGAATTTCACTTTTTTTCCGAATTTCACTTTTTATCTCAGACATTTTTGTTTCTCAAATAGTCAACTTTTTCTCAGAATGTTGACTTTTTCTCAGAATTTCTCTTTATTTCTTAGAATTTTAGTTTTGACTATTTCATAGAATTTCAGTTTTTTTCTCATTATTTCCATTTATTTCAGAATTTCAACTTTTTATCTCAGACATTTTGATTTATTTCTCAGAATTTTGACTTTTTTCAGAATTTTTGTTTTGACTATTATTTGGAGTACAATAATACAATTAACAATCATGTGTTAACCCTCACATTTTCTCCTCCCCCTCCTCCTTCCTCCTCTTCCTCCTGCAGTTCTGTATTTCGTGGTTCTGCAGTGTGTGTGTTCTCCATGGCGTCTATTCGTGCTGCCTTCAACGGACCGTTTGCACACAAAGAAAGTGCAGACTCTCGCTGGGTGGAGTACAAAGGACGCATCCCATACCCCAGACCTGGCACTGTGAGTACACACACACACACACACACACACACACACACACACACACACACACACACACACACACACACACACACACACACACACACACACACACACACACACACTACACGTACTACGTACTACTTACGTTACTTACTTA